TCACCCGTTTTTCATCATTTAGCCTGTTTGAGTCCTTCTAAAGTGTACTAACACTTCCTATCAATTCTAACTACTCTAAATGACTTCAAAAAATCTAGAAATCATCCATTAACATGAATCATAACCTTGAATCCATAAATTAAATTCAAGGAATGTTAAGAGCCAAGTCTAGAGAGTTCTTAGATTCTTTTCAAACGTCTTTTACAAATGTTTCTAAAGTTGTTTTAAGACTTGAGCATTGAGTTGAGTAAGGGCGAAGTTCATTTTCTTTAAAAGATTATATGGGAACAAAGTATTTCCAAAGAGTAAATGTTTTTACATTTAAACAAGAAAGAAAACACCGATTTTCCAAGAGAGCTTTTGAGCTAGTTTTTGAGTAATAATCTCAAACCACAGAAAAAGAGTTACGTTTTTAAACATATGAGCTTAGTATATTTTGGGAGTAGTATTGAGCATCGAAATGGGGACGAGTTCATGATAACTCAAGTCTCCATAAACCATGTTGCCAACGTGGGTAGATAAGAGCATTCTTTTTAGATGATTCCTTAATGCTTTTAAGCATAGCTTAGTGGATCCATTTAGTTGAGGCGTTCTATATCCCGTCAAGTTATAAGACAGTTCTAGTAGCGTGGGCAAGACGTTGTAGCATCACATAGCTCATAGTGATAAATGTCGATTAGAAAATCTCCCAAACATTGTTTATTTTTTTGTATTCTTATATACAACTGAGATATTATGGTATTTTGCAATACTTGAAGATGTTATCTACAGTTTAAATGCTTTATATAAACTATATCTTTATTGCTGTTCTATTTCTTCATTGAGTTGAGTTTCCATGAGTTGATTAAAGTTGAGGTAAGTATTTCTTTCAAATTCCAATCAAGCTTACGCTTTGTTTACAATTCCCCTTGCATGCTCGTACATTCAATGTACTGATGCCATTTGGCGTGCATCATTTTATTTTGCAGATACAAGTAACCATGATCAACATCCAACACTACGTTGTGTCACACCCCAAGTCCCATTGAGACGGATAGGCACCCGATGCCCTAAAGGCCCGAGAGAACTAACCTATAACTCTTGCTTATCATACATGCAACAAATGAAGTTATAAATCTTTGATGAGTAAACGTAAAATACCATAATAAAATACCAACATAGATAGGCCCAAAATAGATATACTTGATTGGATGTTGAGGCCTTAATTACTAGAAAACAAGACATAATCACGCTTCACTTTGACATTGGTCTACAAAGCCTCTAAAAGATAGACACTTAGCTTATAACGGGACAAGACCCCATCATACCCCTTAACTAATATATAATCTCAAAAATATACTAGAGACTTGGCAAAGCCTTGAAGCAACCTGGAGCTCACCAAAGGTAGTTGAGTATCATATGCTTATATTGAGAGATTTTATTAGCGTGAGTACCTGTACCTGTGGCATTAAAACAACATCCCCCAGAAGGGACGTCAGTACAAAAGAATGTACTGAATATGTGAAGCATAAAGTAACCATATGTAAAATAAGAGCTCAACTTAAATCAGGTACAATGCACAAATATTATGTATAGATAGGATAAGAGACAACCTTTGATTATACGTGTGGAATCGCATACCTTACATTCACCTCTGCTTATTCTTTAGGAATCATGTACATTACATTCACCTTTGCTTATACTTGTGAAATCATGTACATTACATTCTTTGGTTATACTTGGGGAATCATGTACATTACATTCTTGGCTTTAAGTTTACTCATCTTTTCTTTATAAACTTTGTAGCATGTGACACAATGACCAGTTGATCAGTGGTAGGAGAGGATGACCCATGCTAGGCATTTTAACCCCTGGATGTGGTCCTCATAAATATACAAATCGGGATCGACCCATGCCAGGCTTTTATCCCCTCAGCTGCCACCCATAATAATATAGATTGGGATCAACCCATGCTAGGTATTTTAACCCTGAGCAGCCACCCATAATTATATAGATTGGGATCGGGCCATGCTAGATATTTTAACCCATGAGCTGCCATCCATAATTATATAGATTGGGATCGAGCCATGCTACGTACGACGACATTAATTTGGTGACATTTGAAACAAATGTCGGAAAATAGAGAATTTCACAACATTTAAGAACAAAATGTCATAAAACAATGACATTTGATGTCAAATGTCGTAAAAATAATGACATTTGGTATCAAAATATCGTAAATATAATGACATTTGGTCCACAATGTCACTATGATAATGACATTTATTGCAAAATGTCGTTGTTTTTAGCGACATTTAGCGAAAATGTCATTTAAATGATGACATTTGCTACAAATGTCAAATATAATATGACATTTATTACAAAATGTCATTAGTTTTAGTGGCATTTAGAAAAATATCGCTTAAATAGTGACATTTAATATAAATGTCGAATATATTATGACTTTAACTGCAAAATGTCATTGATTATAGTGACATTTAGAAAAAAAGTCACTAAAATAATTACATTTATTGCAAAATGTCGTTTTTAGCGACATTTAGCGAAAATGTCATTTAAATGATGACATTTGCTACAAATGTTGAATATAATATGACATTTATTACGAAATGTCATTGGTTTTAGTGACATTTAGGAAAATATCGCTTAAATAGTGACATTTAATGTAAATGTTGAATATATTATGACATTTACTGCAAAATGTCATTGATTTTAGTGACATTTAGAAAAATATCACTAAAATAGTGACATTTGTTGTAAAATGTCATTGATTTTAGCGACATTGATTTTTGTTGTTTGCTGACTTCAAAATTGGTCGGAATGTAGTTGGAAAACACAGTTTTCCGATGACTTTCCGACTACTTTTGAGTAGTCGGCAGACTGAGCGTCGGAAAATACTTGCCGACTACCATAGTCACTACATATAAATTAAAACCCGACCATTAAAGTACCTGAACTGCTGACTATATATTGTAGTCAGAACGGTAGTAAAATAATATTTTATTAATTTAAATACTACTGACTACTGTAGTCGGAATACTTATTAAATAATAATTTATTAATTTAATAACGCCGACTAGGGTTGTCGTAATAACTAATTAATTAACTATTAGGTGATCTTCCGACTATTGTAGACGACATTTTTAATTTTCAGAAAAAAATTTAAGTTAACATAACAAGGACTAATCTAAGATACAAAACTATAAAAGATGAAATTAACTGATAGTATGCAGCTGAAAAAAGCTAAATAGCCTATTGACAAATAAACAGTGTTTTGGGAGAAAAAACTTCGCCAGCCCCTCCAATAACGTGAAGAAAAAGAGTGGAGTTAGTCCTAGTATCCTAGTAGTGTTTCTGCCTCCAAGAAGAAGAAAAGACCAAAACACTAAGGTCTTTCTATAACAAGAATAGACTCAGAATAATACAACTTTCATTTCTTGGACAAAAAATGCATAAGCAGACTACAGAACCAATGTCATAATTGAAAGCAACATTGCAGCAGTATTTGTTCCATACGTTATTGCAACTAGCCAACTACAACAACATACTCGGTGTAATCCAACGAGTGAGATCTAGAAAGGGTAGAGAGTATACAAACCCAAACCATACAATTGTTTCTTCATTACTTGGACATCCCCCTCCCCCTATTCCACCTAGTGCCGAGAGTCTTTAACATTAGAGCCGAGGATCTATCGAAAACCACTCTAGTAGAACAAATTTATATTTATATAATCTAGAATAGATATATAACACGATGGTACTACAATTGCACATAACAATATCCAGATCCTTCAAATTCAGTCAACATTCAGAACTTTATTGGATACTAGGATTGGAAAATTCAGTCTAGAAATGATAATAGAAACTTCGACTCATTGAGTTGCAATTTGCACCAAATAATAATTTTTTATGATCCTCTCCTACAGTTGCAATTTACAGGATAAAAAAATTGTTACCGACAAACCTACAAAAGCAAATATTTTAATAAATTTGTACCAAATTTTCAACAAAATTGAAACTAAGAAAAGGACAACTATGGACGGGTAATTAGAGAGGTGTTCTAAGTGACCTTGAGGTAGTTATACTTACTTTCTTCGGCAACAAAATTATTGGTCTAGCACACTCAATACATACTGATGCCATCGCCGATGGAGTTGCCAATGTAGTTGACGATGTCTCGGACTTCTAGGCTGGTGATTCCAATTGACACCGACGCCATTGTTTCTTCTCCAACAATCGCAATCCAGAAACCCTAAAATGTTAATTAGGAAAATTGGAGAGAAGAGGAGAAAATGCCTCTGTCTTAATATTATAAACTAGTATAAGTACCCGCGCGTTGCGTGGATATTATAAAATGATAAAAAGGTAAAATTTAAATGTAATTTTTTAATTTAATATAAAAAGATTAATTAAATATTTAAGATAAGGAATATATATTACAAAAATAATTAGGATAAAGTACTATAATTTTTTTTAAAATATATGAAAGATAGATAAAACTTTGATTGAATATTTAAAATTTGCTTTGCGTCACATTATTTAGGACGTTTGAAAGAAAGCAATCCATGCTACATTAAAAGTATGATAAAAGTTTTATAAATTAAAGGTACGTTGAAAGTTTTATAAATTAAAATAATGCACAACTTAAATATACGAAAATATTATAATATACTTGATAGAAAAACAAATGTGAAAAAAAAAAATATTAATAGCAAGTGTAATTTTAAAAATAATTAATAAATAATTTATTAATTTAATAATGAAATAAAGTAATATGTGACAAAGAAACCACTTCTTAGGAATATTGATGCGAGTGCCTTCAGTATTCATTTATTTTAAGTCATTTATGTTTGTACGCGTTTCTATATGTATTTATTTGTTTTATTAAAATCTGGCAATATCAGTGCATTTGGAAAAAAAAATATAATATACTTTTGGACAACCCACCAAAGTACAAAAATGTATGGACAAAAAGGAAAATATTGGTCTAGTTGAAAAGTAAAAAGTAAAAAGAACAAACTAAAAAATAAAAAACAAAATGGATATCTCTAGAAGGAGACCAAAACATGAACTGATAGAAGATAATTTTCCAAATTTGGAAGGTGAGTTCCATATTCCGAGTGTGGATGGACAAAGTTATTATAGGGCTTCTATAGGCTTCTATGTGGATTTTAACAAGTGTAGGTGTTTTTATTTTTTGTTTTTTTTTATAATTTTTCGATTGGAATTATCATTTGGGTTCTATGCAATTTTTTGGTGTTGCAAAAGGTTTCATGCTGATTTGAAGTTTAATGGATTAGGAATTCTCTTTAATATGAATACATCATAATAAATTTGGTATAAATTTTTCCCAACTCATCGTGTGAACAACAAATTTAGAAAATTCTTAAGAGAGAATTTTTAAAGCAGCCTATGGTTAATGGATATGGAATATATGATTTTGAGCATAGTTATAGTCAGATCTAGCTTCGTTTCGGTATTCAGATCTAGGCTCGTTTAGTCAACCATTGAATATTTTTTGCAATGGTGATTATATTTTTTTTATTTTTTTTTAAATTCACCATGAAAAATGATAAATCTGAGTGACTTTTATTTGATTGCAACTAATTATTGTTGTGGAGTAATTTTGGTGAGATTTTTCTTATGCCATCTCCTGTAGATATATTTTTTGTAGATCTTAAATTATTTGGGAATATGGTAAGGTGCTGTATAATATTTAAAAATAAAAATATATAATAAATTACTACATGCATACAATAAAATAGTGTTAATAAGCTTATGTTGAAGCAAATTTTGTTATTTATATTGGTGATTGTTCTCTTCTTTTATTATATAATTTTTAAATTTTCTTTGCAATGTCAGGTGATGTCTGTACTTTTCTCATCTTTGTATGTTTGAGCATTAAAGTGAGAGTTGATGATGATAAATTTGAGTATGTTACATAAAAAGGTAAATGATTATTTAAATATTTTAATTTGGGAAGATATATCTTTAATAAACCAACATGTAAGTAAGATATTCAATTTTCGTATATATCCGTTTCTTTCTCACCAATCTATATATTGTAAATAAAAATATTATTTTGGTGTAAAATTTTTATACTAATTTGTTGAATGTTTTGTAATTCAGTTTTGTAGATGGGTGTAGAAGGTGTTTATGGGAAGAAATTGTATCTGCAAGTTTATTGATAGCAAAGTTCAGTTATTATAGTGAGCTACTTAAGGTTAGTACCTATGTACTATTGCATATATATTTCTAAGTTAAATTTTACCTTTTTTTTGCTATCTGTTTATTAAGTTGTATCTGTTTAATGTTAACCTAATAGGTTACAATACATAAGTATTAGAAACTTAAAAGAATAATATTATGAGTATATGTATATGTTATAGATTATATTTCTAAAAGTTAAGACATTGTAATGACATATTTACATACGAAAGAGTTTAAGTATCTCTGATTAAATAACTTTATTTGAACTTAATTAGATATACATTGAGCTGATGTAGCTTTTAATGTATTGTAATAGTGAGCTGTTGGTATGGTAAACAAAATTTTAATAACTTTTACACATAAAGACAACCATACACCGGTAAGGAAACATCAAAACACATAATACTATGATATAAATGAAAATACTATTTCTTATTGAGTAAAGTTTATAATTGTGAAAAATGGAAAGTGGTAGAAAATTGTATTTTGGGGAATGAGTAGTGTTGTATCATTTAGCATTAACAATGATCACCAACATAAAGAACATAGAACATGTTAAAAGATTGAATACTAAAGTTTGAAAGAACCTAAAACAAATCCTTCCACTGTTTATATATAGAAAATAGGTAATATCAAATAACTAATGTTAAAATGTGGTTCCATTTCACATAATTAAATAGCCTGATAATATGTTTAAAAAAATGCTAAATTATTAAACCGTGAAATTGTCCATCATATGTGTAAGTGTATTGTATCTCTCCATTTATACACAATCTTATTACCATCGATTTCAATCCAAAAGCTCAAAAGATCATTTGTATTTCGTGTAATTGTCAAAAATATAGTCATCATTATTAATTTGATTATAGTATTATTAGTTAGTATAATTCTAAACCCTTATAAAACATAGTAATTGTAAATGAATAATGGAAACGTAGAGATTAAGATTAGAACTTAAAATGATTTCATTGTATTGGGTCTTTATATTAACTGTGATGCATTTTTATTAGAAAGTACACTTTGTAACGATACTTACTTCCATATGCTATAGAATACATTAATATAATAAGTAAAACCAGCAAATCAGTTAATTTAAATATAAAAATATGTTAATTCAATGAACGTATAGAATTATTACAGTTATACAAAGTTATAAATAGTTAAAATAATACGTAACTATGAATATTTTTGTACTTATATATGCAAATCTTTAACAGTTTTTGTAACAAACACAAAAAATTGCAGTATATATACAAACATCCAAATATACAATTTATGTCAAATTAAATTCTGGAATACTTCTTTATATACTACATTTGTAGCTTGATTACTTATTTTCCCATCTTCATCGAAAGTTAGTATTTTTAATCCTTTTCTCTTTGTCACTCTGGAAAGAGCAACATAAAATTGTCCACGTGTAAACACTGGCTTCTTAAGAAATAAGCCCACATGAGATAAAGACTTTCCTTAACTCTTGTTGATTGTCATAGCAAATGATACATCTGTTCTATGTTTCTAAATAATTTTAAAATCGTCTGAACATGATTTTTAAATTAACCAAAAAGAATAAAAAAAGAGTAATAAACTAAATAATTTAAGTTTCTTTTTTTTCTTCCTAAAATTAAAATTTTGTTATTGTTTTTAATTTGAATTTTAAAATTTCCTCTTTAGTAATACAGTTTAAATGTAAAAGGAAAATTGTTAACTAATAATAATAATAATAATAATGATGATGATGATGATGATGATGATCATAATAATAATAAATATAATAATAACAATGATGATCATAATAATAATAATAATATGTATTTTAAAATGGATAGATGCAAACTCACAAAAAGAGGATATAACTAAAATTAAATCACGTTTATTTACATCAGGAAATTTTCTATCCAAACAAATAAGTTCATTTGTGTATAATTCAAAGGATAGGAAAATGCATTTTCCTTTTGATTTTGAAGGATGTAGAATTTTAAGCTAATTTAAAATTACAATATATAACTAATAAAATTCTAAATTCATTTCACAAAACTAAATAGCATTGTATACAAAACTAATGATGGTGTCATTGTTCGTCAGCGCAAGCCATGGCGCCGAAAGGACGGTGTCTTCATGTACTTTGAAGATAATGCTGGTGTGATTGTGAACCCCAAGGGAGAAATGAAAGGGTCTGCGATGAGTGGCCAAATTGGTAAAGAATGAATTGATCCAAAGCGCTCTCGTTCACTCTAAAACCCTCAAACGTGACGGTACACATTTCGATCCATTTTAAACCTAATTTATTAGTGAGAAGATCAGTTGAATTTGATTGATAGTAGTTTGATTTTGTCGATTATATATGCAGCTTCTAGTGAAATTAATTTTGTAGTTTCAGCAAAAATAATGTTGAATTTTGTAGTAATTAGATTTTTCGGTGAAAATAGTGGGATTTTATAGATTATATGCAGTTTGTGGCGAAATGTGTAGTTTCAGCGGAAACAATTTAACTTTGTATATTTTATGCAATTTCTGAGTGAAAGCTTATAGTTTGAGTGGAAGTAAGTGGATTTTATGTAGTCCTAGAGCAACTTTATAGTTTGAGTTGTAGTGATTGAATTTTATAGATTTTTTCCAGCTTTTAAGTGAAAGTTTATAGTTTAAGTTGAAATAATTGGCTTAAAAATAAAACTTTCATTTTAAGTTTATTAAAGTAAAAGAAAATTTATTAACTTTTCCCTCTAATTTTTCTACTACGATAAAATATTCCCTGCTATTAGTAATAAGATACTTTAAAAATAAAAACCCTACTCCTGCTTAAAGTCTAGAGTTATTTGTTTATTGCCTCACGCCCTCAACACATTGCTCAAGCAAAGAAATTCATGGTAGCCATCTCCATCCACAGGTAATCCTAAGGTTTTTATTTCATACAAACTTATGGTCTTACTGAAACAAATCTTTGATCAGGTAGGATTTTGGGATTTTGGGGTCAAGTTCTGTTAACTAATTGAAAAGGTATTGACTTTCGGAACCATGTGATGTTTCAAGGTTTCACAATTTAGTTCTTAATTTATATTGTCTTGTAGGTTTTACTGGATTAATCTCATCCTACAAATATTTTGATTCCCAGGTATTTTAATAATTGTGACGATTTGTGATTTTATTAAATCACTTTGGGCTCAGCAGAGGTTACTAGCGTGTCTCTCTGAGAGGATATTGGCGTCGTCTCTCTCAGAGTTACTGGATACTGCCGTCGTCCCTCTTAGCATTTGAATCTGTGAAGGAATTTGTGAACGAGGTACTGTAATTTCTCCTTCCTCTTTAGGGTTTTAATTTCAATAATTTTGAGTGCATAGGGTTTTAGTTTCAATTTTCATTGAGTTACGGTACTGTGAACGAATATGTGAACAAGTTACTATAATTTTTTTCTTTTCTAGTTTTAGCATGCTCATAATCGATTTTCCTTTCTAGTTTCATAATCCATTGTTTTCTGCTTGTGTTCAAATCGTGGGGTTCACTATTCTTTTGCTTCTTTTATGTTTAGGAATTTTATGTGATGGTTTTGATCTTTTGAACTTTGCTCTTTTGTAGAGAAAAAAAATACCAATTAAATTGGTCTGCATTGTTGAGTTTGTGGTTTAAACAGTGACTCTAAACTCGTGGCTTTGTTTCTTAAGAAATCATCACCAATGCTGCCTAGAAATCATATATAACCATGTTTATGAAGCCTTACAAGACCTCATCGATGCCTTAAATTCAAACAAGACTCTTTATTAGCACTAATAGTAATACAAACGTACTGGTTAAATTTTTGGATGCTCTACCATAAGCAGCCTTTGCATATTTCCTAGTTGAGAAAGTTGTAAGACTTGATCTTGTTATTGGAGAAGTAATAGATATGGAAAAGATAGCTCATTTAAAGGATATAGTCAATGATGATGTGGTTATTAATGTAATGGTTCTTAATGAGTTCCCCTCCTCTTATACCAAGCAAATTGACTACTACAGTTGATGGATGCACTGGAAAATTGTTAATAGATGCACCTTTTCTATTTGTTAATCGATTGTTTGCTGCTATAATAGGCTTGTTTTATTCGGTTTGGGGACTCATGTGATTGATTATTCCTCCTTTGATTGAGCATGACTTTCCTTAGAATCAATGGAGGGATGAAAAGCAAAGAAAGAAAAACCAATGGAGTTCAGAAACTGCTCTTCTCAACTCCTTTCTTTTTATATTATTTTTAAAGCATTCATGTTTTCTTTTGGTTCTGGATATTAATTTTCACGTGTTGTGATCTTGATGGCTACCGTTAGCATCAACATGTAAAGGGTTAAGGAAGCTAATAATATCAGAAAAAGAACTACTGACTTGTCAAGTATGTGATTAATCTTTACTGCTCGTCTTACTTCTGCGTAAATATTATCTTGTTTTTCTTTAGTTCTCTGTCCAAATTAATAGCTATAGTTGCTTTTTGTTATATGCCGAAAAATCTGTTTCTTGTTGATATCGCGGATTTAGATTCAGTGTTCTAGAACTCGACGTTGTAGAGATTTTTGGTACCATATACAGTCTGCTTCCTTTATAGTTTATATACTCTTCATGTATTCAGTTTTGAATAGGGCCTTGAATTAGCTTGGTGTCGAATTGTTTTTCTTCTTCGTGTTACTTAATGGCTATAAGTTTACTAGTGTCAAGAAAAATTATCACTTTTGGCCTATTCTATTAAATTTAGAACTAGATTGACATAAAAATCATATCAATAGGAACCTAGTGTTGAAGTTCACTGAAAAACATTCATGTTTATTAAGTAGTTTCTTTTTATGTTTATAATTTAGAAATTACATTAAGGTATTCTGTTCTTTTCCATTTGCTGCTATGTGTGCTAGAGACATGCTTTAAGAATGGTTATCTTTTCTTAAAGGTATCCAAAGAGTAAGATATTAGGATGTCATTAAGCTAATGGTTATCTTTCCTAAGGGGTTTGCATTGCCTTCATTGTCTTCTTGAAATGTGTGTTACGATATACGTTGGTAGTTGCACTTCCAGCTGCCAAACCTCCCTTTGTCTTGAACTGCTTGCTGCTGTAAATGAACTGCAATGCCTTCCCATTCTCAATTGGGAATTCTCTGCAAAAATGACAATAATTGAAAATAAGAATAGTTACAACAGAACTCAATTAATTACCAGTACTAACTATACTAATATAAGAAAATAGTATGAGACAACCAATAAAAGAAAGTTGTGACATTTAGTACTGCAGATGAGATGAACATATTAGGTGAAAACCAAAATTAATTCATGTCCAAGACGATGTCGAAGTATTGTGGCTTGACGGTAAAAAACAAGAATAATGAACATTTTCTTTTCCTGAATCAGCCCCACTAAGATAGTACAAAGAACAAATATGGAAAAAGACAACACATATGACAAAAACGACATTGCAATTTGCCAAGCATTATTTTAAGATAATCCACCAAAACTACATTACCTATTCCTAAAAGCAAAACAAGTTTTGTATATCTGCATAGTGGATTCGATCAATTCATCATTGAAAGGTACAAACTTTGGCCTTCCCTGAGAACAGGGGAAAAATCACCATCAGCAAGTTAGTAATATTCTCCTCCAACCCTCCATCCAACACTCCAACAACTTTCACAAGATTTAAACAATTATCTAAAGGGGTGAGGGGTAATAGGAGCATTGAGTCAATACTTGTGATCTTCGAAGCCTTTGAATTTCCTTTTCAGACAGATCATGTTTTCCTAGCCGGTGCCTTTCTTCATGATGATGTTTGCATGTACGTTGACTGTTGGACTAATTTGGTTTTACAAGATAAGTATAAGAGTTATGAGTAATAATATTTTTACCTATATGACTGTGACTTTTCTGGGAATCTACCTGATCCATCTGTTCTTGAGGTGTCTTAGGTCTCTCCTCATTGTTTGTATTGTTTTTGTTATTTTGCTTTTTTTTAGTTTGCCACTGTTCTTCCTGTTGATTTGGCTCTTCTTCTTGGTAATGATGCTGCCTTAACTCTATCTGTGATGTTGTATTATTTTTTCCTGTCAGTCGACTGCATATCAATTTCAGGACTCTTTGTGTGGACTTTGCAGGTTAGTATGTGTTTTGTTGTTTTCTTTAATAGTATGGAGGTATTAGTCTTTAATAGTATGATGGTATAATTCTTGTTTGCTATATGTATAGGTTATATACTTAATGGATAAAAGTTGGATAAATATATTGAATAGGCTTGATCCTTTATATGAGAATGGAGCCAAAGAGTTTCTTCATTTTGCATCATTAGATAGGCCAGATGCATCTGCAATATTGTATCCATGTCGAAAGTGTCGTAATATGAAATTTGTTCGAAAAGATTTGATTGTTGAACATATTATGGTTGATGGATTTCTAACTAGTTACACTAGTTGGATATATCATGGTGAGGAGCTATTTTCATCAAAATTGGTCAATCAGTTAGATAAAGGTGATGAGATGCAAGACATGTTACATGAAGCATTTGGAATTCCTCCTACATCTAATTTTGTTGATATGGACACTAGTGCTGAAGGATTTGATGGGTCAAATCAACATAACATGGGTTTTGATAAGAAGAATGAAGAATTCTTTCGCTTACTGAAAGAAGCTGAACGTGAGTTATATCCTGGAAGCAAGTATTCACTACTTGCGTTCCTTGTTCATCTATTACACTTAAAGTGTCTCAATGGATGGAGTAACACATCATTTTCCATGCTATTAGAGTTGTTAAAAGATGTTCTTCCAGAAGGTGAAACATTGTCCCAGTCCTTCTATGATTCAAAGAAGATTATTAAAGATTTAGGACTTGAATATAAAAAGATACATGCATGTCCAAATGATTGTATGATTTATTGGAATGAGACGAAAGATAGAACGTCTAGTAAGTTTTGCAAAGCTCCAAGATACAAACAGTTCAAAGGTGCATCAACTAATTCCATTTCAGAAACATCAAAAATTCCATTAAAGGTGTTTAGATATTTTCCATTAATACCACGACTTCAAAGACTATTTATGTTAGCTAAAACATCTACTCAAATGAGATGGCATGCTGAAGGCCGCACTAGAGATAGGGTAATGCGATATCTTGCAGACAATATTGCTTGGAGGAAATTTGATGAAGCGCATACAATTTTTTCTTGAGTTCCTCGAAATGTTAGACTTGGATTGGATTCAGATGGCTTTAGTCCATATAAGTCTATGTCTATCTCACATAGCACATGGCCTGTTATCTTGATTCCATATAATTTGCCATCATGGTTGTGCATGAAACAACCATATATGATATTATCAACTATTATTGATGGTCTTCGTGCACCAGGTAAGGATATTGATGTCTATCTACAACCCTTAGTTGATGAGTTACAAGAATTGTGGGTTGGTGTTGCCACTTATGATGCATCAAACAATCACATGTTTCAAATGCGTGCAGCATTGCTTTGGGCAATTAGTGATTTTCCAGCGTTAGGTAACTTATCAGGATATGGTGTGAAAACTAGATATGCTTGTGCATGTTGTCTTTCCAAAACTAAATCTACAAGATTGAAAAATGGGCGAAAATATTGTTTCATGTCTCATAGGCGATGGTTATCTGATGGACACAAGTTTTGAAAAGATAAAGTTGCATTCAATGGCCTTGTGGAGTTAGATGGAGCACCTAAATGGTTGACGGGAATTGAGATTCTTAAGCAATTTAATAATATTAAAAATAAATTTGGTAAAGATCTAATGGCCAAATCTCGTAAAAGGAAATGGGATGATGTTGATAATTTGGTGCAAAATATATGGAACAAAACGAGCATATTTTTGAGTTGGAATATTGGAAAGACAATATGATTCGTCATAATCTTGATACGATGCATATTGAAAAGAATGTCTTTGACAATATGTTATGGACATTATTGAATGTTGATGGAAAAGGAAAGGATAATTTAAATTCCCGTTTAGATTTACAAGAGATGGGTATCCGTAAAGCTTTGCATCCTAAGAAAAAGGCTAATGGAAAATATTATCTTCCTCCTGCATGTTTCACATTGAGTAGCACACAAAAATACATCTATTACAAGTGTTAAAAGATGTGAAAGTGCCAGACGGATATGCTTCAAATATCTCAAGTTGTGTTGATCTCAAGCAACGCACAATGCATGGGTTGAAGAGTCATGACTGCCATATTTTAATGCAACAACTCCTTCCTATTGCCTTGCGGAATCTCCTACCAGTGAATGTACTTAAGCCATTGATTGAATTAAGTAATTTCTTTAAGGGCATTTGTTCAAAAGATCTGAAGATATATGACTTAGAAAAACTCCAAGATCGAGTTGCATTAACTCTATGTCATTTGGAGAGAATATTTCCTCCATCTTTCTTTGATTTCATGGAACATCTACTTATCCATTTAGCTGAAGAAGCAATGTTGGGAGGACCTTCACAATATCGCTTAATGTGGTTTATCGAACGGTATCATTTTGTTATTTTTTTTATCATACTTACAAGAAATTGTATTTGTATTCTTAAAATTGTCTATTTTAGGTTCTTGCTTTGTCTTAAAAAACTAGAATAAACGTTATCCAGAAGGTGCGATTGAAGTGGGACGTTGTATAGATGAGTTAATGACGTTTTGCTCATGGTATTTAGATGACGTCGAGACTATGTCTAATCCACCTATAGGAAATGATGTTTTATCTAATGAAACAACAGACCAAGAGGGTCTTCGATCAAGTAGAGAGAAATGATTTAAGCTTGATGACATTACACGTGCTCAAGCCCACATATATGTTTTATTTAATTCTACCTCCATAACTTCATATCGCGAGTAAGTATTCAATCATAATTTATACTTAGTAATTAATTATTAAATAATTTTCTTTCAATTTTTATTAAATAGTTATGTGTTTTACTTCCGTAGTGAACATATAAAAGAAATCAAGAAGGAAAATCCTCGTCTATCAAGACATAATGTGGATCGAATTCATAATGAAAGATTTCAACTATGGTTTAGAAATCATGTAAGTTTCAACTAGCTAAAATATTGGCCCATATATTACTATATAAGTATTTATAACTTTTAGATCACATCTTTATTTTTGAATGCTAGGTCGACAAGATGCATATGGCTGGTGAAAATATATGTGAGGATATTCAAACTTTAGCTATTGGCCCATTAATACAAGCAAAAAGAATGACTGGCTATATATGTGATGGAGTTAGATAATTAACAGAGTCTCGTGATGTTAAGAGAAAAACTCAAAATAGTGGTATCATGTTAAAGGCTATCACTCAAAGCTATGCAAGCACAAAGGATAAAAATCCCATATTGGCAGAGGTTTCTTTTTAAGGAATCCTCACAGACATAATTGAGTTATATTATTCCAAGAATCTCAAGTTTGTATTGTTTAAATGTAAATGGGTAAACAATAACAAGGGGCATATTGAGAAAGATGATTATGGATTTACTCTTGTGAATTTTAATCATCTACTCTATACAAGACATCAGTTATCAGATGAACCATTCGTCTTTGCTTCTCAAGCTTAACAAGTGTTTTATGTCGATCATCCTATGGAAAAGGAGTGGCGAATGGTTGTTAAACTTAAGCCAAGAGGTTTTTATGATTTAGGTGATGACACACCAACAATTGAGCATAAGGAAGGACATATGGAGTTGTGGCCTGAACAACAATTGGATGACACAACATTTGAAACTGAAGAAGACATTGAATGGGTTAGAGAAGGAGTACCAAGATTAGAAATTGACCCAGAAACTTTGGAAAGTATATCTTAGTTTTTGTTACTATAGTAGTATAATCACTATTTCAGTACAATTGATTGTTGAACAATAATGACTTTGATATTTTTACTCTTCATTCAGCTGTTAAAATCTCATATGTTTATATGTCTTATTATTTGATATGATAGTTAGATATTATTTTATACTTTTGTATAGTAGAAACTACTTTAAATTCGGCAGGATTCATAACTGTTGAGGAACTTTGTTGAAATTGCAAGAGAAAGACAGAAATTCTAGTCAAGGTGATCTTTTATATGATTCTTCGGAGCAACAAAAACAACAAATTGGAAATATGTCAATGCCTGAACTGCCCCAAAATTCGCCACAAAATGAAAGAGATGAATCACATGATACAAAAAATCTTCCAGGTATTAAATATCATGATATTTATTCCGCCTTTCATTGTATGAAGTACTTACATAATTTTTATATAAATAATAAATTTTCCTCTTTTTATCTTTGATTATTTCTAGATTCTGAGCAGCAAAAACAACAAATTGGAAGTAAGTCAATGCCTCAAGCGCCCCAAAATTGGCCACAAAATGAAAGAGATGAATCACATGATACAAAAATCTTCCAACTATTAAATCTCATGATATTTATTATTCCTTTCATAGTATAAAGTATTTAGATAATTTTTTATATAAATAATAAATTTGCCTTTTTTTTATCTTTGATTATTTATAGATTCTAATGAGAGTGAAGAGCAATCTAAGCGAACTAGGGGTCCCACTATGATGCACTCGGGATGGGGGAAAGATGGTGGAAATTTAAATATTGAATTGAATGAACATGGTCAAGTTATTGGGTTAGAAGGAACTAGATTGAGTTCAAAACTTGGTGTCCTAGCACTAAATGGCATCCTAGCGCCACTGAATCATAAAGATTGGAGGCTTGTACCTAGTATGTACAAGGATATAATATGGGCTCATATCAAAGGTTCTTAGTATACACAAAACCTATATACTAAGATGTTTTGTTTTATATTTTATTTATAAATGAGTTGTGTATTAAATATATGTACAGGAAAATATTGACGCAACTGATGACATGAAGCGCATACTGATGATGTCATTTGGATATAAATGGAAAGAATCAAAGCATGAAGCAAAAACCATTGAATATGACCCATATAACACTGATATTGAGCGTTTCGCTCATTATCCAGATAGAGTTGAAGAAGATCAGTGGTATTCATTAATTCATTATTGGAGCTCAAAAGAAGCAAAGGTATGTGCTAGATTTCTATTTCTGCATTTGCTCTACTAAATGAGAATTTCATAGAAGTTGTCATAAATTATTAAAGTCGTGTTTCCTTGATTATACTTCTTATTGTAGAACAACTAGAAGTTCTTTCTGATTTGTCCCTTTCTTGTAATTGGCAGAAATAATGTTGTTGTACATGTTCAGTTTTCCAACCTGCACAAAATGTTCTTGTATTGAAATTGATTGCAATTTGTGAAACTCAACTATGCGGCATTTTTATATTTTTCTTGGCTATTTCTTTGATATATTCAAGATTGCGAATGTCCTCTTATATATTGTTGTGTTCAAATTTCTACGAAAAGAGTGAGAGAAACAAAGAAAGACGAAAAAATTTGACTATGCCACACACATCAGGGAGAAAAAGTCATTCTCAAATTATAGACGATGTACGAAGTAATCACTATTTATTTTCTATACTTTATATATTAAATAATACTTATCGTGAATATTCAATGTCAATCTCTTACTATTCAAACAAATGACAAAGATGAATAATGGTGTAAAGCCAACTCGTATTGAGGTGTTAAAACAATTTCACATTAGAGCAAATAAACAACCAGTAAATGAGATAGCTGGTGAAGTTATGGTAAACTATTACTCTTTAAAAATATATAGGTACTTTCTTTCTATTACAATTTTGTTTAAAAACTTCTCATTACTTTACCTTTCTTTAAAAAAGAAACAAATGGATGATCTTGCCGAGGTGTATCATGAGTTGAATGTCCCTGGAAGTGATCCGAATGATGTGTACTCCCAAGTAATTGGATCAGACACTCATGGAATTGTCCGAACTCTAGGAAAAGAAGCATCTCCTAGCTTAGTAAATGACTCCGTTTATACACGATCTCAGGCTGAAAAAAGAGATTTTGATACAAGGGTTGAGATGGAAGTTCAAAATGCTACCTCAGCTATGAAAATTGAGATGACAGAGAAGATGTATGAAGCAAAAAAAGAGATGGAAGCGATGGATAAAAAGTTGTTAGAAGCGAAAGAGGAAGCAAAAGAGAATAACGAAGTGATGGAGAGAAAATTATCGGAAGCAAAAATGGATATGGAAGAAATTATAGCGGATAAAGTGAAGGAAGGAATACAAGCATATGTAGAGTCTTTGGGAATTAATATTGATGCAAATTTAAAATCCGAGCAGGTGAAATAATTGTGTTGCTCACAGGTTCCTGATAACCCACTTGAAGATTGTCAACAACCATCATCACTTGTTTTAGGTGTTCACACAGGAAAGGTTAGAGAAAATTTCATTAAAATTTTGAATTTTATTTTAATTGCGTAAATCCTAACATTTATATGATCACGAGATCATCTAATTCCTCTTTCTTGTTTAATATGGATTAATCGACAAACTATTAATTGCGCGCTATGCACAAATAAACAGTCAAACTGATCATCTTTTTCTTTTGGTTCTTGTTGTTGTTGTTGTTTTTCAGTTGGTATAGTGAAATTATAAACTGTGTTAATTTATCATATTATTTCTAGTTTTCACCACAAAAGCTAAAATGCCTAATCGTACACACTCCAAATAGAAGCCTCGAAACCTGAACCAAACATCACATTAAACCAAAAGGACCCATCCGTAGCTGATGGAACTGACGGAATTTTGATCCGACATCAGAATCTTCGGATGTTGACACTAGTCAACTCTTTCATGCATTAAGCCTCCAAAATTGAAAAACTTGCATCAAAGACTGTGTCCTAATCATACTTATCCTCAGAATGTATCATTTCATAATCTGTATTTCTGATGTTGCTATGTTCATTTTGACCAACTTGAACCTGTAGCTCTTGCCCCTTATTCTCTTCTGCCCCTGCTACTTGTTGTTGCCTTCTTTTGATGGCCTCTCTCTTCTTTTTGCTTAGTTTTCCCTGAGATTTATTGTTGATAGTTTGCCCTTGGTTTGTGCCCCTACTGTCTTGTAAGTTTTGTTCCTATTCTCTCTAATGAACATTCTTTTTTCTGATTCTTTTTTTGAGTGTTATGAGAAGTATTAAGATTACCTTGTTGATCATTCTGTTTAGTGTGTCCCTGACCGGAAACCTTTCCCTGATTGATGAGATGATTGTGCTGGTTCTCTTGTGTGGTCTGATGAGAAGTGGTAGCAGAATCTCTAGGGTCTTTCTTAGGGTCAGTGGGTAAATTCTCATGATGCAAAAACCCCCCCTTTGGATACCCCTTCCTGCAATTTAGTAATGTTCTCCTCCAACCCTCCATCCAACACTCCAACAACTTCCAGAACAATTAAACAAATATCTAAAGGGGTGAGGGGTAATAGGAGCATTGAGTCAATACCTTTGATCTTAGAGGCCTTTGTATTTCCTTCTTTGTCCATACCTGCAAGTACATTAGGCATAGAGGGAGGATTTTGGGATATAGGGGTTGGTAACACAGAATCTTCCCCTAGTTTGGCCTGTGTTTTCCCAGCCGGTGCCTTCTCTACATGATGATTTTTGCCTGTACCTGGACTGTTTAGCAGATCTGGTTCAACATGATCAATATAAGAGTTATGAGTAATAATATTTTTACTAGTATGACTGACTTTTCTGGGAATTGGCCTGATCCATCTGTTCTTGAGGTGTCTTAGGTCTCTCCTCATTATTTGTATTGTTTTTGTTATACTTCTTTTTTTTGAGTTTGCCACTGTACTTCTTGCTAATTTGGCTCTTCTTCTTGGTAATGACGTTGCCTTGAGTCTATCTGTGATGTTGTATTATTTTTCCTGTCACTCGACTACATATTCTGCTGTTCAGTTCTTACTTGATCATCCTTATTTTTGTTCATTTTTTCTGCCTAGAGTCCATGTTTGAATCCTCATTATGCCTCAATTTAACCACAAAAGATTGTATCACAGTATAAGGTGCAAGCTCTGGGATTACCTTATTTTTGGCATTATTTTGCTGATTATGGGTTTGCACCTCCTGCACATTGCTACGCTGCTTCACATTTGTCCTGTTTCTCTAAAATAGTTAGCTTGTTTCAATTAATTTGTAGATTCTCTTGTTGACTTGTCCAGGAAATTAGTCGAAGAAAATAGCATGATTCCTCCGTATTTATTTATTACCAGATAATTCTGGATGTAGTTTTGTTCAGATGTTTCCAGGTTTGTTTTTTTTTGTCTGAATAGACCCAGTCTAAATATCGATTTATTAATAATGTGCGGCAACAAAAATGTGACACTGAACTCTCTAAATGTTGTTACTGAATCTGTCGTTGTCAAGTTATCACTGGAACGGATTATAGATATGTCTATGCAGTCTGGATCTGCTTACATTAGATTTGGGACCTTGTTCTGGATGTCTTATATTGTTTGATGTGTGCTAACATAATTTTAAGATTAGTTCAAGTATATTTGAAACTCATGCAGTACCAATGCAGATGTTGGTAATAATGTACTAGAATATGAATTTAGTTCTATGAACTTGTTGCATGCGACTGAAAGAGGTGGTTAGTTCTAGAGATTGGGTCATTTCCTTCTGGAAGAGGAAATAATTTAACTGAATATGTAAATCTGATAAGGTCTTATATTGTTTATTGTGTGCTATATAATCTGTTTGCTGGAATTTTTAGCTTATTTTAAGATGAGTTCTTACAATAAATAATAACATACATAGTGTGATCCCACAAGTGGGGTCGGGGAATGGGTTCTTACAATAATGAAAATATTGTTTCATTAAGTAGTTTATGGTTTCTGCTTTTTTTGGGAACTGCAAGTTTTTTTTGGGACATGAGTCTTTCAACTATCAGAAATACTTAAAAAGAAATAAAAGGAAATTTACTTAGATAAGATCATTACAAAAAAGGAATGTGAGAAACTTTCTACTTGCTGACCATTATAATGCGTTCTGTTCGGTGGCTAAAAGCTGCTTCTTTTCTTATATTAACCAGCTAGATTCATTGGGGTGGTCAAGTAAACTTGAAATTTAGTGTTTCTCCCATCATCTTTTTTCTCCCCCCCCCCCTCTGTATTTAATTGAAAGCAAAGAGGGTAGGATGATGTCTGTGTATGTGCCTTCATAAGCATACATGTTTCTCTTGTTAGAATGCCATCATTTTTGGGTTGGAAAAACTGATGATTTTCTCGGAAATGGACATGGATAAGTTAGAAGAAGCATCAGAGGAAGTTTTGAACTTTCATATAAACTTCTTCATATGATGTTGTGACGTTTCTTGATGCCAAGCCCAAGCAAAGATCTCGTAAGTGGTACAATAGATATTTAAAATGACTCGACCTAGGAGAGGATTATTGGATTGTTGGATGTACTCTTATTGAGATTTCTGTTAAAGATTCAAGTCTGAACCAGACTATAAACAATTTCTTTGGACTATAATGTTTACATAACTTCTATTGTTGTTCTGCTTTTAATGTTTGAACTGCTACAGAGTAACTAGGAAAGTCATGTCTCTTTCCTATGGGTAAGTATCAAGCAGGATACCAAAATTCTGGTATTGTGTTGCTTTGACTCTTAAAGATATGTTTGTTTTGTTGAAGAAATCATATATCTTCCTTTTTTATTTTCCTTCTAGAAAAATTGGCACACTTATGTATTCAATGAAATGTTAAGTTTTGTATTTCGTAAAGTATCAAAATAATCAATTTAATATTTTTTTCAGGCTAACATGATCAAGAAGACTGGAACTACCGTAGTTGGGACAAATAAAAAGAAGTGGGTATGTTTGAAAAAACTACAAAATCTTTCTTTTCTTTCAAAAGGAGGAAAATTTCATGTATATAAATAATTACTGCTTTTGCGTCAATTCCTTAATATGTTTGTTTTTTAGAAAAAATCAATTAGTAATTTTTGATATCCCACCAACTCAATATGAGGCTACTATGATTTTGATGAAGTATTCCTAGAGAGTTGGCAAAGAAAGACCATACCTTATTGGAATATATCTTTTCCAGAAAAAGATTAGGAGTGGGAAAACATGTGCAGTTTGGAGTCTGATGTTGAAAGCTAGGACTGCATATTTGTTGTTGAAATCCATTATTAACGTTATTCTTTTGATACTTCACAATGGTATCATCTGGGGGGACTCTCTTGGTTATGATCCTCCAATCTAAAAAGGAAGTCTTTTGTGAGTGTCATTGATGTTTTTCCTATTCGGATATGGTTGATGTAGTGCTGGATTTGTAGGAACAAATATTTTGTAGCATCTCATTGTTCCACCTATTTATCCTTGATCTGAATGTTATCCAAAGTTTGGCCACTAGGAAGCTAGGGGACCAAAACCAGTCCAGTTGTCCGACTAGAAAGGCTTAATTCTCTAGATCAGATGTTGTTCGAGTTAATGGGTATCTAATTTCTATTATTATATAGTTCTAAATTTTCTTATGTGCATTTCTTGTGCAGAATTTTTTAAGGAAATTGAGGTCAAGTATCGACTTCAACATACTCGACTTTTGGATTGATGATTTCATAAAGATTTATTACAAATTTACTGGAGATTTTAATTCCATTTGAATTAGGAGTTAATTAGTTGGTTTGATGTTGAGATTATTACATTTAGTTGGATCTCAATTTTACTTGAGATAAAAAAGATAATTTGTTTAGACATTGTTTACTTTTACAGAAAACTTATTATATTGCTATTTTGTTCTTTGATTATAATATTATAAAACATTTGCATTATATGATATTTCTTGCTTATCATGAAGAAGATAGTTTTGAATGCATGGATTGTTTGTATGTATTTGTGTCTTGAGAAAAACTATATATAGAATTTTTTGGTATGTTTAAAGAAATTTGGTAGCGACATTAAAATATTAATATGACATTTAACAAAATATAAAATAATATCACCAAATTATATGACATTCAATAATAGCATTTGTTGACATTAACTAAAGTGTTGGAAATTTGAATGTGACATTTTATAAATATCACAAGTAAGTGTCTTGAAATTTGTTTTACCAACATTTAATCTAAATGTCAGAAAGTTTAAGTGACATTTCATAACTGTCAAAAAAATAAATGTCATATATCTCATATCGACATTTACTTAAATGTCAAAAATAAATGTCATATATTTCATACCGACATTTACGTAAATGTCAAAAATAAGTGTCATCTATCTCATACCACCATTTACCTAATTATTGAAAATAAATGTCATATATATCTCATACCGACATTTACCTAAATGTCGAAAATAAATGTCATATATCTCATACTCACATTTACCTAAATGTCAAAAATAAATGTCATATATCTCATAATGACATTCACCTAAATGTCAAAAATAAATGTCATATATTTCTTATCGACATTCACATAAATGTCAAAAAGTAATTGTCCTAATAATCTTACCAACATTTACATATATGTTGCAAAGTAAATGACGCAAATTCTTTTCAACATTTACCTAAATGTCACAAAATAAATGTCACAAATTCTTCCCGACAATTACCTAAATGTTGGAAAAATCCCCGACACAAAAATATATGACATTTGGTCCAAATGTAAAATAAATGTCGGTAAACAAATTTGTGACATTTAAACATCATAATATGATATTTAGAAAATGTCGTTGTATCTCCACTTTGTTGTAGTTCCCTGAGTTGCCACCCTTAAGCACAAGAATTAGGATCGGCCCATGCTAGGTATTTTAACCCCTGAGCTGCCACCCATAATTATATAGATTCACTTTACCTTGTCTTCTTAATCTTTGAGATTGTTCTTTTGATGTTCATGAATGTTTTGAGATTTAGGACTATATACTAGTGATGTGGACATGTGGATAAATTAATTGAGGCAGAAAACAATACTATAGGAAGAGAATGTAACTTTGTTATGCTACTTAGGAACTTATATGACTCGTGAACTTCATTTAGTCACAAAGAACATATACAGATGATCCATGAAGGTGTGTGGCAACTACCTTACAAGTAGTAAATGATTCGTCAAGATTTATAGCAGTTGAGCAAGTAATTCTTCTTACAAGATGCTTCATTTAAAACACGTTTGGACATTTTGCATGGGGGCATACGATTACTTAGCACTTAGTAGAGACTGTAAATGTATAGGCAAGGACTATATAAGATGATATGATAGCTAAACAATTAGTATACGATATCAAATGAAAGAGTGCATAAACATCCAAACTAATGAAGCCCGTGACAGAACCCAAATAATGGTTGTACATTCCACATAAGGGGACATAAAATGAACAATTGACATAATATGCATCTGACATATAAAAACCTGTACCATGTATAATGTAGGATCTAATTGACTCAATGAACTTCATTTGACTTGGTGGATAACTCATGACACTTAATGTTTAAAGTACCTTTGTCAACTAGTACTTGGAAGAATAAACACAACAATATTGAAGAATTAACATGTATAGAAGTAGTCTGACATATTTTGAGAACTTGGACTGTATAAGGAAGACCATTAGCTACATTGGAGATTGTACACCCTCACATTGTATCTTTTACCATGAGGATAACTTAGAGATCTCGATTTGTTGGTACACAGAATATAGGACTTCATGCCAAAAGATATGAGATCAAATAGCCTTAGATACCTTGTCTCCCGACCAATATTATGTGGTACAATGAATCGGCCTTTCCTTTGAGGCGTTACTCTTCATTAATGGCAAGTAATAGAGCTAATATTAACAGCTAAAAACAAGGTTGGATCACTTCGACTTACCAAAATTGTAGTCGGGCAGCAAGCTCGAAACCCCTCTACTAATGGGTGGTCTTTTCATTAATTCATTTATCACCATGTTTACACCATTTATGACCTTCCCATGAGGTCATCTGATAATACCTGGGATTTACAACTTCCAAAACAGTAAATACACACCTAAGGGGCAGCACGCCCACACAACCCACAATTCAAATAGTGTATCTTCCTTTCTTCCCTAAAACATTTCACATGACTTTTTCTTAAGGCTAGCTAATATTACAAATAATAATCTACAAAATATATCGATTACATCACAATCGGGTCAATAAGTCAAGTAATGGACCACTACGACATTATGTCGAACACCTAGCGGGCATAAAGCTCTACAATTCATAAATGGTGTTTCAACACCCAACGGCCTCATATAAACAAACATAACTCTCACTACCATATATAGGAATAAAATCATGTGTTTTTCCACTAATAAACCCAACTATCCACCCAGTACTTCTCCAAACTTCACCACGTATAGACAACCCCAAACCTTTCTAAAATAATCAATAAAACTTTGACTCACTGCTTCCGATTATTTTTTCATGAATTTGTAGTAAATCACGTAGAGAAATCTCACCCAATCTGATATCTATAGTGAGACAAAATGGGGCAGTAACCTTACCTCAAATTATAGAAAATTGTTCTCTTAACTTGTACTCCTTCAATAGTTTTAATCACCCTTCACACTTGAACAAAATAAGAAGAGAAACTCTCTTAATAACAAAGAAAACATGAGTAGAAAACTTAGGGAAAGGTCTCCACCATATTTCAACATGAAAAACATGAAATCTCATGGGACAGTCAAGCTAAACCATAAGGTTTCTACTTATCTTTGCTTGAAATTAAGAGGGTTTCTTGAAGAACCCAGGAAGTATTTTTGAGGTAGCTGTGATAATCATTGAGGGAAAGAGAGAGTGTTGGAGATAAATTACTTTTTTCCTATGCAAGAATTAAGATATAAATGAGCTAAATATGACCCTATAATTGTTGGCACTCCACCGCCTCTATCTTCATCAATTTTGTCCACAAATTGCCAAGTAGGTGATCCACCTACTTGGCCATTTTTAAGCTACTCAAATGTCAAACTAGGTGATGCAGCTACTTCTTCTTATTAAATCTATAGCTATGGCAGGTGATGCAGCTACTTACTCTTATTAAGTTGGTCAAAAAGTCTAAGTAGGTGATGCACCTACTTGTCACCTACTAGCTTAATCTAGTCAAGTAAGCACCTCACTTATTTTATCTCATTTTCCAAATTCTAATCTTTTAATTTAAAGTTAACACTCAACCCCAAAATTTAAGATTAATAACCACCTCACTTCTCGAGTTTAAATACTTTAATCAGTATTAACTTAGTATTATACATGTTGAAATGTATGGAGTGTTACATCATCCCCCCATTTGGATCATTCGTCCTCGAATAAGTGGTATAGCTCAAAATAATGTGTACTCTAGCATATTTGTAAAAAGGTTTTCAAATTTTCCTTTGTAAACGAATAAGCCTTGCACGACATTTAAACAACTGAAGCATACTTAATAGTCAAAAATAAAATGTAAGGCTCCTCCCTGCGAGATACTTTCAGGTGAAACAATTCTATATGGTATGACCTGCCTTTATATCTTTTTACTTATGCACTAGCTTGATGTGGAACTTTTTTGCGTAGGCAATCCCAAGTATGATCTACACATTTGAACTTATGACGGATGGCTAAAATATCAAATGAACTGATGTTAACAAGTAATCAGGTGATCCTATTAACAAGTGAATATATGCATGTGAACCTTATAATCAGGTAAAGAGGATAAATGATATCAAAATCTCATGAAATTTTTGGAACAACATGGATTCTTGAACTATGTAGAGTTTTTCAATTCTTAAGTGGCCCTTTTAATCTCTTTGACTCTTACACAACACTCTAATGGAGACTGAATTCTTAAGTTTGAACTTTATAATATATTAGTGAAGGATAGACATTAGAACTTTCTCTAGTGACAAGTGCTCTATGACTTCAATATTACGATAAGTTATGGGTCCCCTAAATGTTAACACTTCATAGAATGTGAAATAGTAGGTGTATGACATATAAATCTTGAAGTAGCTCTACCTTAGGTTTTTTTGGTCAGTTCTGTGTATGTTAAGGTCCAACACATCAAGAGCACAACTTCCTTTCTGCCCAAATCACATGAAGCCTATAATA